CTTATGTAGAAGTCTGCGCTTAGGTACACGGTCAAAGGCTTTAGAAAAATCTAGATAAACAACGTCGACCGGCTGCGAACTGTTAAGGATGAGTTCCAGTCGTTAACACAATCTAGGAGATTGGTTAGAGTAAAGCGACCAGAGACAAATCCATGTTGTTGTGTTGGAATAACATGTTCCTGGAGAAGGAATTTGGTCATCTCCTCGGAAATAATGGCTTCCATAACTTTGACAACTACTGGCTATTGGTTATTAGTAAATGTCATTTCTTGTTGAAATAAGAAAGCAAAACCTATATGATAAGATTTTAATCACCATAAAATTGTATATAAGTACATAATTCAAACAGCTGGATTCATGCCGGGAAGAAGCTATGGCGACCAAGTCCTCTCCTTAACAACATTTATTGAGAAGGGATTCCAAAAGAAACTGAAAACAGTAGCAGCATTTATAGACTTGACCTGCGCCTACGACACAGTGTGGAAGGAGGGCCTTTAATATAAAATATACCAGATGTTACCGTGCCGTGCGTTCAACAGTTTGTTAAACTAAATGCTAAGTGACAGACTTTTCCAAGTACACCTAAATGGGAAAAATAGCAACTTCAGAAACCTGCGAAACGGCTTGCCACAAGGGTCAGTTATGTGTCCTCTTCTTTTTAATATTTATACGTCAGATGTACCAACTACCACCTAGCGCAAATTTATTTATGCCGATGATATGGCTTTGGGTGCCCAAGAAGAAGACATAAACATCGCCGAATCCACCATAGAAGTAAAACTTAACACTGTTATAAGATACTTTAAGAAATGGGGCCTACAACCAAAACCTTCGAAAACTGAAGTAACAGCTTTCCATCTAAACAACAAGGCAAATTACAGACTAAACATAGAATGCGATGGAACCAGTCTAAAGCACAGTGCTAACCCAAAATACCTCGGCGTAACTCTAGATCGTACCCTAACATTCAAAAATCATTTGGAAAACACTTCAGCAAAAATTAAAACCCGCAATAATATTATCCATAAGTTAGCAAATACATCATGGGGGTCGAATGCAGAGGTAATAAGAATGAGCGCGCTGTCCTTAGTATATCCTACTGCAGAATATTGCGCTCCTGTCTGGCTAAACAGTCATCACACAAAAGTCATAGATATCCAGTTACACCAAACAATGAGGCACATAACGGGAACTATAAAGCCCACACCAACCCAATGGCTTCCAGTTTTAAGCAACATCGCTCCACCAGCAACAAGACGACTAGCCGCACTCAACACTCTAGTTCAAAAATGCCAACAAAACCCAGAACTACCGATAAACACAGACATCGCTGAACTACACCAAAGGCAGTTAAGACTGAAATCCAGACATCCACCTACTAGAACTCCTACAAAATTGGCTGTTTTCACTACCGCAGAGCACTGGATGGGCGAATGGAATCCAGACATCAGAAATTCCAATCTGATAGAAAACCCCACAATCAAACCAGACGGCTTTTCTCTTCCCCGTCGTGAATGGTGCAACCTAAATAGAATACGAGTTTGGTCATGGAATTTGTAACAAATCGCTGAATCAATGGGGTATAAATGCCAGCCCAGAATGTGACAAATGCAGCGCTGCTAAACAAACAATTAACCACATCGTCTTCGAGTGTCCAGCCACCAAGTTCTTTGGCAGCCTTCAAGAAATCCACCAACTTAGTCCCAAGGCGAGAAATTGGCTTCGAGGATGTAACCTTCGACTTTAATTTAATAATTTTAATTTTATATGTTCTGTGTCAGTGTTTATTTATTTACTTACTTATTTATTATTGTTATTGTCACTTTTTTCTTCCTTGTTTTTATGTAAAACTGCAATGTGTAAGGTTCATACGAATATATATATATATATATATATATATATATATATATATATATATATATATATATATATATATATATTCAAACAAAAACAATAGAATAACTTGGCACTGGCACTGACTTCTGTCAAACGCTGTAAGGATTAATTGTCTACAATATTCAAATTCTCCAGCCAATGCAATATTAAGGAGGTTAATATCACATCATTCTCCCACACATTCAAAATAGAGCTCTCAGATCATCGAGGTGCTCCTGAAGGAGGCGATGAGCTTCGCTGAGAACACGTTTTGAATTCTTCAAGAAGTAATGAATCCGGTGGAGTAGAGAATATAGACGTATCTGCCTGGGGCTGTATGTTTTGCGTGGTTGTATAATTGGATAGAGTCCTCTACCCACACTGATTCTTGACCTAAATTATCTAATATTTCACCTTGCCTAGTGTAATTGGAACCAGATGACAATTAGACACTGTGATCTCCCGGCCATCTTTCACTTTACTACATCTTTTTACGATATGCTGGTGCTTGTTTTTTCGATCGAGCCTTTTCATCAAGATATGACGTGTTTTCGCTAGCTATGATGGCTTAGATATAGAAGAAAAATTAAACGACCTTATTGAAGTTGGCAATGGGATAAGACAGGGAGATTAATTGAGTCCTCTATTGTTCAACCTGATTATGGATGAAATAATAAAAAAAGTAAGAACTAAAAAAGAATACCAATTGGGAGAAAAACGATAATTTTCGTTGTAGACGTGAAGCTCTCAAAGTGAAGATAATTTCAAACGTATGCTGCATCAATTTAATATAACCGCCAGAAAATTTAACATGTTAATTTCCCCAAAAAAGACTAAATGCATGGTTACAACAGAAAATTTACTAAGATGTACATTGGAGCTGGAAGGTCAGATAATAGAACAAGTGATGGAGGTTAAATATCTAGGCATCACGTTATCTAGCTACGTAAAGCTCGAAACTGAAGTGGAAGATCAAGCGAATAAAACAAACAGAGCCGAGGCAGCCTAAATGAAACAATATGGAGAAATAAAAATATCGGGAAAGAAACGAAAGGCAGAATTTACAAAACATTCATCAGACCACTAATGACGTACGCGGCAGAAAGAAGACCTGGCACAGGGAGGGCAAAAAGGATGTTAAAAACAGCAGAGATGAAAACACAGAAAAATTGATGGTAAGACACTATGGGACAGAGCTAGAAGTGCAGATATACTACGTAGATGCAAGGTGGAGAACATCAACAACTGGGTAAGAAATAGAAGAGTTGAATGGAACGATCATATAAGCCGAATGACAACAAATAGAGTAGTAAAGAAAGTACATTCTTTCATTTGGCGTAGAGTTAGTTGCGCTACATAACAATGAATGAATGGAATGTAGCACAAATAGTAGACATTGTTCTCAAGTCTCAAAAGGGGCTTAATGTGCTTGGGGATTATAAGCCGTAATTTTATCTGTTACAATTTTTCTGTAGTTGAGAAACTTTCTACTTCAGGTGATAGACATCGAGTCCCTCTCGATGCATCGAGATATGCAAGCATTCCAGACATACTGAATAAGTAATTTAAATCCTTGATTACCGTTTTGGCACTAATGTGACTATATGAAAAAGCAAATGAAAATCTGGACTACTCATCTATTGCCGTACGAATATAACGATTATTGACATTCGAAGGCACTGGTCCTTTATAATCCATACTAAGGCGTTCAAAGGGAGATGTGGCTTTTATAAGCTTTGGAAAAAGCCCCTTATTCTTAAAGTATCTCGGCTTGATTTTAGTACTCACTTGACAGTCACGAGTCACAGTCATCGAGAGAGAAAAGTAATTTTTTTTTATTTTATCCAATGAAACAGGTGACAAAGGATGACAAAGTGCTGTGTGAAGTGACTTGAGTGTGAGATCTTGCTGGAATGCTTGGTGTTGAAAATAAATCTTACAGACTTTTGATCATTGATGACTGTGAGAGGCTTTCCTATAAGAAAATGATGCCACTTTTTTCAGATTCAACGATAGCGTACGCTAGAGTTAAGCATTCTTGAAAAAACAGCAACAGCTCTGGAATCTTGACTCAAGATAGCAGCAATCGAGTGTTCTGAAGCATCAGTTCCAACATCAAATGGCATATTTTCGTTGATAACTGAACAGACAACTTTACGACTACAGTTCTGTGGAAAACTGTTGACATGAGCTAATGCGTAGATCCTTTCCAGAAAGGTTGAGAATCAATTTTGAATAATGGGCAAATATCCTTCTGATAGGTACAGTGTTATTTGGTGGAGGCATTTTTAACAAAGGTTGTAGTCTGCTAACTGCGGGCTTTATGACATGCTAAAGGCTAAATTGGTACAGTTTCTCAGCGGCTTCAAAGGTTGTGTACAGCTTTTCATGCAAAACTATAGGAATCTGATGATATTACATGTTTCAACAACAAATGGCATATTTTCGTTGATAGCTGAACAGACGTCTTTGCGACTATAGATTTTAGAATTTCAAACATTATAAAACAGCTTCGTTCAATGGAAAATTTTTACATTAGCTAATGCGTGGATCCTTCCACAAAAGTTGGGAATCGCGATATTTGGTAGTGGATCAAGTTGAGTGACGCGATTAACTGTATGAGAATAATTATTGATAAGGCGGTTTGATTTTCTTCAATAATGCCATTATTTAAAAGCTTATTTGAAAAATATTAGATTTACCAGGTCAGGAATCAGTGTTATATTTTGATTTGCATAAACCTGAGAGTTGAGCTCTGCCGTTTTCATCGAAACAGCTACATTGTAGGTTTCTTCCAAGTTAAACGTCAAACTCTCTAACAATCTAGATCATATTACCAATTCGAGATATTCCAGAGATAAAAGCTCCACAGCTCGTATCATTTTTGTTAGTTTCGGCATCTACAGAAGTAAAATTGCAGTCTCTACTGATAACAAAAAATATTAATATCACTAGAAACTTTTTACATCAAAAGTCCAACATTCTCTAAGAAGAGAGTAAGTATTGGTCGAATTCATGGCTCATCTCCCTCTGCCCCCCAAATGTTATTGGTTTCACGCAGTAAGGAGGTATAACGGAATAAATTGGATACTTTTTTAAACATGTTAAACATTTAAACAACTTACCCTCTGATGTGTTGTAATGTCTTGTTTGTCCTGGAAATAAAAAATAATAATTAGGACCAATGTGTATTGTCTGGTATTGTTAATATTATAAATTAATACAAAAAGCTTGTTAAGATACGCTGTACACAAATAACCTTCGAATATATAGAAAACTTATTTATAATTTAGTAATCAACAGTGATTAGATCAAAATAGTGTAGGCTCTAAAGTCTACACCAAACGTTATTTTCTTTCACTACTCGCATATGCCCGAAAATGTTTCTTCCAAAGGTAGCTTTTAGATTCTCGACACTTTTTGAGAGTTATACCAAGGCGGATCTGTAAAAAAACGACTACGAGAGACGAGAAAAACGACTACGAGAAAAAGTTGTATCATAACTTCTTCTGATAAAGGATGTGAAATCTACCTTACTTTCTCGAATAAAATCAACCAAGTTTTCACTACAGATAGATGAATCAACAGATGTAGCTGGGTTGGCAATATTAATAGAATTTGTGCGGTACCAGCACAATGTTAAACAAAATTAACTTCCATAACTACTCAGAAGTATGAATGCCTGATAGATTTGACATCGGATTGTGCGATTAAAAACATTTTGAAAGTAAATCAATAGTGGATTTTTGGTGTCAACTCAAAGATGAATTTAAAGTTTTGTCAGATAAAGGAAAAATTATTTGTCTCCCTTTTGCAACAACAAACTTATGTTGGCATTCTCGGCCACTATGTGGCCACTAAAACAAAATATCGATCTCGACTGAATGCAGAACCTGACATTCGATTGGAGTTATCCCAAATTCAACCGGCTATTACTAACCGGTGCAAATCAAGGTAGCCTCATTCTTCACATTAAAATGAAGACATTACGTGTTTTAAGATTTTAGAAATAGGATCTGTGTGTTCATTTTATTTTTGTTTTACGTTACTCAACTATAGATAAATTCACATTCAGATGGCAGCGTTACAGAGATAGGCCTGTACTTTCTATATGCCAGAAATAACTACATTGTTGTCAGTTTTTAATCGTACCTACAATCGTACCTTATGGGCCGGCTCCTATAAAAGAATTATAATTTCGGAAATATTTATGAATGTGAAACGGAAAAATACTACATTTTTTTAATTATATAATGTTTCTGTTGGTATTTTAAAAATAGAAAGTTATATTTCGGAAATCTGGTCTTTTCGGAATTAAATCTTCTGTTCAAAATTGTTTACAATTCGTGGAAATGAAATAATTATTTGTATAATCCGTTTTTGATCTTAATGTCCTTTTAATGACACACTTTCTCTACCTGCATTTACAGTTACAGACATTAAAAAATAATTTAGAATTAAAAAAATATACCTATTTATAAATTCAAAATTATTGTCTAATGCCAGCAATTATAAATTCAGGTAAATACTTGAGAGTCATTAAAAGAATTTTCAGTTGATATCAGACGTTTGTGTCGTGTCAGTGTCAAAATGGCCGCGAGTGTAATAAAATTCAAAAACGGTAATTTGTTAAATAGTGAATACTACGGTCTAGAATAAGACAAGTAGTGCACGGTTTTTTTATGGACAATATTCCTCCAACCCTTGACGTAGTACTAGAAAAAATTAAGCAAATGGAGCATCTTCCGAATTTTTCCAAGAGTACGTTGAGAAGACTATTGCACGACATGGGTTTTATATATGGCAAACAAGGTACAAATTCAATAATAATAGAAAAACAAGAAATAGTCGCTTGGAGGCGTCACTATCTCGGGAAATAAAGAAACTGAGGAACGAAGGAGCCAATATCATTTATATGGACGAATCATGGGTTAATACTGGAATAACCAATGGGCAAGTATGGCAAGATACAATAATAAAAAATAGCCGACAGGCTTTCGTAAATGGACTTACCACAGGTTTAAAAACTCCGACCGGAAAAGGACCAAGATTTGTTTTAGTCCATACAGGAAACAAAGACGGATTTGTTGAAGGTGCTGACATCACTTTTCTTGCCAAAAAGGTGCTGAAGATTACCATGAAGAGATGGACGGAGATCTATTTGAAAAATGGTTTGAAGAGATGTTAATACCGAATCTCCCAAAAAATAAAAAGAATGTCATTATCTTGGACAATGCATCTTATCACTCTAGGAAATTAAATTTTCCCAAACAATATTGGGTGAAACGTCAAATTAAGGAGTGGCTCTATGAAAAGGACATTTATTTTGAAGAAGATTACTTAAAAAATGAACTTCTGGAAACTGCTAATGTATTTTAAAAATATTTATGACAAATACAAAATTGATTGTATTGGTGAAAAATACAGGAATCACAGTGACGAACAATGCCGCGTAGATGTACATATCTTAAGACTTCCGCCTTATCACTGTGAACTGAACCCAATAGAAATGGTGTGGAGTAAAGTGAAACGGTACGTGTCCTCTAAGAATTCAAGTTTCAAACAAAACGACGTTAAAACATTGATTTATGAAGGTTATGATAAAGTACAGAACAATGGACATTGGAAAAATTACGTCAACCATGTTTTCAGTTTTCAGCATGTTTTCAATGACATGTAATTTTTGATGGTGTTATTGTTGTTAATGTAGAAAGTTTGAAGCCAAAAGTACGTGCTTGTTGTTAGATATCAGTTGCTAAGTGATAAGCAACTGCACTTACACACTTGTGTTCTAGGGGCCTCAATTAGGGGTTTTTGCAATTATCTCAGTCATTTGTTTATGTATTTTAATTTACAAACTAAAAAATTAAAAAACTTTTTAAGATCTGCAACATTTATTTGAAACATTTTTCCCTAAAATGCACGAGGAACAAAATAGGCAAAAAAATGATTTTTTTCCAAACTTCATCTTTCTTTAAAAAATAAACAAAGCAAAATTGGCTGTAATTCTTCAAGGAATTATCATCAGTTATCCCTTATCTACCGTTTAGAACATTAAAAAACCTGTAGAATATTTTTCATATTTTTTCCCTATTAACTGCGGTATTATGTATAAAAGCATTTTTGGAATTATTACCATTTATTTCATTCACGAATTTTCTATTAACAACTTTAGCTTACCTAAACATATCTTAGTTTACCGTGAGTTTGGCCATGCTTATTTTACAAAAGTACCAAAACTTACAATGGCAGTAGAATTGGCAACGCTGTTATCCTATATCCGTACACTGTCATCTGAACGTGACTTTATCTATAATATTTCTCGTTCTCTGTGGCACCCTATATAGGTTTCAGGTGCAATATAGTAAGTGCTCTTAGATTGAAAATAGAACCTTCATAATTCGCATAGAAAATTTTTATAATATAATAAAACAAAATCTTTGGTTATACACATTTTTACATAATTTGTAAAAAAACCTTTTTCTGAGAACGATTTCCAGAGTGGAACTCAAAACGTCAAATATTAGTTAATTAAAAATGTGATTTTCATCATAAGCACAACTCGAAAATAGTAAATTTTATAGGAGACAATAAAAACTTTGTAAAAGTTTATTTATATTAGCACTCATATTTTTGGTTTGAAATATATCAACTTTAACTCAAATAGCTTATTGTAATTTTTTTATTTTATAGTTTTTTGGCGGAATTAAGAGTTTTGCACACACACTATATCGGAGATACGTGATTTTCCAACATTTATTTGTTAAAGTGGAAAAAAGAGTGATCCAGAAAATAAGTCTTTTTTTAAGTTTATTAATACAAAAATATATTTTTAACCCAACAAATTTTAATTAAAGTTATAATACTAAATAAAAAAGAAATTTTACAAACTACAGTAAAGTTTAACACAAACAAGATGTTTAATCGTGAGGAATTGCAGCATAAAAGGGATGAAAATCTGGTTCAATAATGGATTTTAAGGATTGTAAATCAAGATACTTCCTATATTTAATCGATAGTCTTTAGTTTCAATTTGAATTAAATTGTTTGATTAGGTAAATACTTCAATGCACGTATATCGACAACTCGGGGAGATCCACCTAATGCTATTATAAAATAAATGACTATCAAAATTTTGGAAATATTTGTAATCCAAATACCAAAAAGGGAATTTTCTGGCCTCTTTACAGATTGTTATATAATCTGCTAGTACACGAACTGTTTTCTTTTTTATATTCCGTTCAATGCAGGAGTGCATTCAAAAGAGCACTTAAATAACATCAAAATACAACAACAATAAAAGAACGATCAGTCTAGATGCTTCTCATAGAATAACAACATGACAACTGGGAGTTAGAAGTTGTTCGACACTAAAACGTCGAGAGGCGGGGAGTGAGTCCGATGAGGATTCACTCCCCGCCTCTCGACGCGTTAGTGTTCTGAGCTGTTGGACGTGAATCCCTGTCCTGGCATTTGGTTTTCACCTCTGGCTGCGTTGAGTAGTTGAGTTACTGTGACCAAATGCCCATCTTGGTAGTTAGTATTCGCCTCTGGTTGCGTTGAGTAACTGAGTTACCGTTGCTAACTACCCATCTCCTGTCTTTTGTTTTCTTTTTCTTTTTCTTTGTTCTCCTGAAGAAGCTACATACAATTGTAGCGAAACGTCGAGATGAACCCACTTTTGGGTCACTCACAAATGACACGGTCCAAACCCGGAAGACGAATAAACTATAAAGGGTATTGATTTGTGGCTTAACCCCATAAAAACATAATATGACTGTAGACATGTGTTTCATAAAGGCCAGTAAAAATAAATCGTATTAAGATATGGTGCGCGAGCTGGCCATTTCATTGATGCGTCAGGTCCTTTCCTATTTGTATCTGTATTTTTCGTAACTGATGAAACATTTCACTTTGGTATCCGTATACAATCTTTATTATATTATATTTGACATGATATAATATATGGATTACATTTTGTTTTGTATATTATTGTTTTAGACACCTTGAATATAATAAATTGTACGTTAATTTACAGTTATATGTGTGATAGAAGTTCAAGTTGTAATAAATTATACAAATGGCAAATTTTGCTGGCAAAAATCCAAACACCTTCTATTTTTACTTAAAAATCTTTACTATTTGTTTTTGTTTT